TTGTATAGCTCTGTTTCTGTTCAGTTCGAAACCCAAAACAGTTTTGTACTGGGCCTTAGTACGAACGCAAAGTAGAAAAAATATTATATAGTATATCCCGGAATTGAGTTTACAAGAGGAAAAGTTTTTTATCTTTGATTTTACGCCAAAACTGCAAAGGAAAAACATGTTTTGTTTTACCTGAAACGAGAAATGTTTGTAAAAAACATAATTTTGATAAATAGCAACTGAAACAGCTTTAAGATAAAAAACCAAGTCGTTTTTAACAAGAACTATTATTATTTAATTAATAAATTAATTGTCAAAGTGACATACATACATATAGTTGTCAAATAAATAAAACCGCCAGTGTGATAGGACGAATTTCAAGAGAAAAATGAAGTTTTTTTTCACCGAATCAGAATAATGAATTTTTAATTACAGATTTGCTCGTTTCAGGTGAAGCAAAAAATGTTTCTTCTTTGCAGTTTTGGCGTAAAATAAAAAATAAAAAAAAATTTCTCTTGTAAACTAAATCCAGGAACATAGTGTATAAGGGAGCCCTGAAGGAGGTGCATCTTTTAATGGATTTTTTTCAATATTTCAGAAACCAATGTAGATAAAATTACAAGATTTGGTACAACTGATAACCTTTATACACCAAAACAAATTCAAAGAAAAAATGTCGAAATTTTTACTCAGGGTCATCCTAAACTGGGAGGGGGTTTAGGGAAAAAGTACCTTAACTCTTTTGGCTGTTGGTTCTTGCCACTTTCAGTCACAAAATTCTAAATTTCATAATTTTTTATAAAAAAGAGGTCTCTTGCGTTTTTTCGATATAACTTACCGTTTTTAAGTAAAATCAGTTTTCCTACAACCATATACGAAACTAGATCATAACGCACAATTACATATGCTCGAAAATTGGCAATATTGTACGAGGTCGAAAACCTGTGCGATTTGCTTTCGCACTGTGTGTTATGAGAAAAAAAATATGTTTGTAAGAAAAAAATTATTTATGGTCGAAGGAAAAGTAGTGTACAAAACTTGCAGGAAGGTGTCTAACGCACTCGCGGTATTCCCTGCACTCGGCTAACGCCTCGTACGCAACTTTCTCGCTTGTGCGTTATTTATCACTTTGCGTGCTCGTTATGTAATATACTATTACAACTTGTCTTACAGACCATAAAGAGAATAAAAATTAAAAATTAAATTTGTTTTACCTTTTAGGCGTCTCTGATTAAAAATTTCTACATTTTATCTTGGAATTCGTTTAGCTGCTGTACCAACGTTTGTAATTTTATCTGTAATTTTATCTATTTTGCAATAGTAGAAAAACCCCACTAAAAAACGCATTTCTTTCAGCTTACATAAAATTTTTGATACGTGTTCCTAGGAAACTTTTGTCTTAAAATAGAAAATACTGTCACCTGTTTAAATTTATAACAATAAAAATGGGACGCCCTGTATATTTTTCTACGACTATTATATAATTACAATATTTTTGGTTAATTTTTAATTACAGAATACTCATATTCTGTAACACTGTGCGAGAATATTTTCACACTAGTGTTAGGATGATCATTGATCATAGACGATTGTTAAAATATCTAAATTTTAATCTGCGATTTTAGTAGAAAAGGTATTATACCTAGTCTTGAACTCGTCTAGAATGGCATATTCTAAACTTCTTACTGAATATACTATTCTCTATAGTACAATTTACAGTATCATGTAAGATTATAGATTATAAAGTGCGAATTACTTTGAATTAACTTGAAGACAGTAAACCTATAAAAACAGCAACTTTCGAGTTTTCCCTTCCGATGGGATCGAAAACCATCAGATTTAATTTCGCTCCCACAGGAGCAATCCAGAAGRTCACCGTCCGTAAAACATTATTCCTGCAAAACAGTCCACAAAAACCTCCCTTTCAGCAACAATGCACCTCCAATAAATAAAATGCACCAATTCCATTAAGKAAAACCGTTTCGATCTGTCTAAAACGTCTCGATCGTGTCCTGAATGATATCTCGATTACATTTTTAGTATCACGTTCATGCTCACTTACTAGGTATAATACATAATAACATTGTAGGGCTGTAAGTGGAGTTGTAGAGGGGAGGGTGAAAGAATGCACCACGTGACCAAATTACTCAATGAACCGCGTATTAGCGTCTCCGAGAGCGAACGTGTCAAGAATCAAACAGAGGTGAAAGAAGAAGAATTTTCTCGTATTTTTTGGCATTTTTTTTWAAATTGATTCGATATACGTTGAGTTGTTTGATGTMACCGAGGAACGATGACAAGAAAGGGCTGTATAATATTATAATAGGCTTTCGCGGGACTGCTTACCGAAGCAGATCCACGCTAATGGTCTGATTAAGAGATTGTGCGACAAACTAATGGACGGTCCCCTCGGTTAAAGCATGCGAAATGTATAGTAAAACGAGCACCAAAATTACAGTTTTTATGTCGTAAGACTGCAGGTAGAGATACAAAAATTGTAAGTAAAGTGGTACGAGTAAGTATGAATTTTTCGATTTTGAATAATTTTAATGGTYTAGCAAAAAAGTGCTGTTAGCTGTGCAAATAAGTTTCGAGGAAGTGAATTAGCATTTAGATTAAGTCCACTTTAAAATCGTGATAGCTGAGACAAATGGTCGCATACATTGGAGGTAAATCGCGGAACATTTAGTTAATTGAAACGTCTGGGGGCCGAACTGAACAGTAGAACAATTACACTGAGTGTTAACAGATGATAATGTATTCATTTCCCCCCTTTTCGGAGATCGGGATGCGTTATCTCATACCCTATGCATTTTCAACTTTAGTGTCTACATCTAATCGATATTCAAATTGTAGTCGATATTGAACACGATTGAAATTTGATTACTAATGCCAGTAATCTTGATATAAGTAAATAGTACAGTCCGCCAATATGAATACAAGAGAGGAGAAAAGAAAAAGTATTGCAAAATAAATAAGTAAATTTGTACAAAATTTAAATATTTGTGGTTTTTTATAAAGAGAAAATATGCAAGTGATTTAATAATATATAGTTTACGTAACTAGCCCGAAAAGTGGGGTTTTGCTGAACGAATAAACAAAACAAGCTTTTGAGTCGAGTAATGTTATTTAACTAGCGTAAAACGTACAAATTTTTTATGCACTCAAAAATTTTTAAATTTAAATTTTATTAATCACAGCTTCATTGTCTTAAAACTTGTGCTAGATAGGTAATGTAAATTATCTGAAATGGTGTTTAGTACTTAGTTACTAGTCAACGAGTCCGATAAAAGTGATTTACAGTAGCTCAATTTCAGTTTATTTTATATGTCAATAGAAAATCTAATTTTAAAAAATCAATACAGGTTAACTTGGTTAATTTATTAAAATTAAATCACAAAAAGTAATAGTAATTAAAAAGTATCATTAATTCAACATAAATTTTTATATAAAAATAATTACAAGTGACCGAAACAAGCTGAATGAAACAATCCAAAATACTCCTAAACAAAAATAAAAATAGATAAAGCATTAAAGTTGTGATTAGATAATATGAAATTTTATGAGTAAAACATTTTTGTTATTATTTCAGATAAAAATATTCTTATGAGTTTTTTTTAATTTCATTAACCTTCTTTTTTATGAGTCCTCAAATTTTTTTGTGCCTAAATCCAGCTCTGATATAGGTAACTTGTGTTTAAACTTTAAAACCCGTTTGATCTCAGGTTTGATCTTAGGTTTTTTTCAAAAATTTTAATTTTTTCAAGTTTTTATAATCATTAGTGTCTATGAAACAAAAAAATTAAATTTTAATAGTTTAAATTACCAATAAGTGAATCTTTATACCTAATACTGCAAATCATTATTCTYAAATAATCGCAACACTAATATTTTTTTATTTTAGTGACGGCCTAATTCCCGTTGTAAAAGAAATTAACACGGGTAAGTACCAAAACAGATTTAAAGTCGGCTTGTTTACAATCAAATTTTAATTCGAATTTTATTTGACGCTCTGTCAACCTAAAGAGATGCTAGATCAATTGTGTTTTTTATAAAACCCTTGAGGACCCTTTAATAACCTTATTTGAAAAAGCCAAATTATTCCCGATGTAAACTTTTGGATTTTTTGAGTTATACAATTGTCATATTTGTCCCAGTTTTTTGTAGAAAAGAAAATGTAGAAAGCAAATGATACCAACTGGAATTTTAGTTCCGAATTAAAATTTAATTCTCTTTTTGTAAGTCCACCCTAATTTCGTATACCCATTTATTTGTTTATTAATATAAAAGTTTTTATAAATATTTGTTTTTTCATCTCAGTCATTTTAAGAAACCGTCAATAACAAAATTACTTCSCTCCCAGACAAAAACACCTAATACATGAAACTGCAATATATCAAAAAAAGCATTTTGTCATTCTCATATTTTATTTTCTAGTACTTTATCATCCTTATATGTCCTCGTTTAGTCCCTAACAGTTTCACTTCCCCCCAATCTCAGTTTATATTCTCTGAAACCGCAGCTCTTACTTTTATGAACCCATTGATTTATGTTTTCTATATTTCTTCATTATTCCGATTTTATTACCCGCTCCAAAAAATTGATAATAAAAATAAAACAATGTTTCAAAATAATCAATCGACACAAACTTAAATCTCTTTGTTGGCAATCAAATCGTCGAATAGGGTGAAGAAATCTGGAAATAACATAAATCCCGGATTAAAGCTCCTATCAGCCGAASCCAGTGAACAGTAAAGAGGATGAGCTTTCAACATAAACGCTACAATTCCCAGCGATCGTTCCCGCCGAGATGTACCCTATCCTGCTTAAAATTCATCACCGTTACGAGTCTTTTTGCGATTTTGTTTTACGACCGAAGGAGAGATTTGTTTTTAAAGACTTTGCAAACTTTATAGCACTTTTTTGTAACAAAATTATTAGAACAACAATATATTAAATATTTTAAAATAAAATGTCCAATTAAAGTTATAATAAAAAAAACTTGGACTTACCAGCCGCCCCCCATATTATTTTTGTGCGTTGTTTATTGTCGAGGGTCCGAAATTGGTTAAAAACCACTAACRGAGCTCTCACTAAACACTAATTACAACGTGTCCCTGTTGGGTAGCCATTGTCTGTAATTTTTTTTTGTAAAAAATTATAAAAATAATCGAATAGTTACCTCGAAATGTAGCAGCATCAGGCAAACGACGTCAGGTCCGGGGTACGTTTGGTCCCCGGAGTGTTCCGGGAAGACGTTTTGGCGCCGTCTCCACACCGCCCTCGCCATTGGAGCCCTGCCACAGTATCAGCTCTGACGTCTATCCGTTACTGTATGCCCTGAAATCCAGCCGCCAACCAACGCTCGGGGGCGGGATTTGCCGCCAGATTACACATTGTTTCAATCATGACCATGAAAAAAATTTGCAGTTTCGGTATATTGTCGGCCATTTTGGAAATCACGAACGATTGTTTTCAAGATCTTATTAACTGATTCTGCTGACTGCRTYCAACTATTACGATACCGAAATTATGCAGGTTAAAGGAGGGAWGAAAATGTTCGCTGAGGAATGTTTATTGATTGCGCTTTGCTTAATTTAAGGTGAAGAACAGACTGATGTTCTAAATTTGCCCATGTGAATATTATTRATAAAATGKTAAATKTAAAAACATAGTTTTTGCTAGAGTTTAAACCATATTTCAGTTTCAAATATATTTAGTTCATTTAACCATATACTAATTTGAAGTAGATTCATGCATTACAATAATCATCAAGCTATTTTGGTATATGGAAATTTTATTAGCAAGAGATTTACTATAGCATTAATATTTCTTTTGTATAAAGCAGTTTGTATTAAAGCACTAATAAAAAAAGAAGATTATTTTTTACGAACAGAAACGTGTTTCAAAATAAAAGTAAAATAATAGTTAATAGAAAAGTATTTTTATAATTTCTGTACATTGCTATTATACAGGCTGCATTATAAAAAACGCCCCAAGCCATAACTTCATGCATCAAAGATATGACAATACTTGTTTGATCAAAGTTGAACAGTTTAATGATATAACAACTGATTTATTAATCCAAGAAATATTGTTATATTWAAAAAAAAATGGCATCTATACTTAAATTAAGTCACTTCTATTTCTGTTTGCATTAAATATAGAATTTAATATTATTTATAATTATTTAAGTATAATATTTGGCATCAGTATAACACCGAGAGACGATATTTGAGAGAATGCATTACCCATCGTGATGCAAAACCAAACATTTGCCTACTTRCATTTTTAACTTACRACTTTCTGCGTAATTAAATTCTTTTATCCGCAAACGTCACACCACTTTCATGACTAAATGACACAGGTAAAAGTTTTTCTTTTCAGACATGGAGTAAAAACATTGTTTTTACGCCTAGACGTTTTCACTTTTACTTGACTTCTTACTTTGATATTTACCACTGTTGTCTCTTTCTTGTATCTTTCGCTTTTTCAGCATTTTCTGGAGAGGTACAAGGTAGATTATCAGCATTCGACATTTTGCACTATAAACTACACCAGTTATTCACCAGTTAAATCAATCAACACTTTCGAAATCTCAACACAAATTCCGAAACTGACGCGTGACGTTTGTTATGATTTTATTGCAAAGCGTCCTGATTATTGAGGTGATTTACTTGATTATTGGTGTGTTGCTCTTTTCTCTCCATCTGAATCGTTTGCAGATAAAATAGTCTATGTTATTTGGAGTAAAAGTGAGTTTATGTGGCTCAGCTGAATCCATTTGATGAACGTTCAGCTTCGACACATAAACAATTACTTTTACTCCTAATAARATAATCAACTATTATCTGCAAACGTCACAAAAGTCACCACTTTTATTACTAAATGTCAGAAGTAAAAGTTTTACCTTCCAGACATAAAGTAAAAATTTCGTTTTTGCGCTTAAGCGCAAGTGTTATGACATTATTGACATTTACCAATGTTGTTTCTTTCTTGTCTCCTTTGCTGCTTAAGCAATTTCTGGAAAGGTACATTATAGATCATCAGCATTCGATATTTTGCACTACTAACTGCACTAGTGTATCTTGTCCTTGAAATATGTGAACCTGATTTCGTGGAAGATGGTATACAGGACAAAGGAAAATAAAAACCATTAAATTCGTTGCGACGTTTCGATACCGAATTTTTGTTGGCTGAGCGTGAGGAAGAACTTCCCGCTCAGCCAAGAAGAATTCTTCGCCTGAGGAAGATACAATAAAGATTCTTCCCTTTGTCCTGTATACTATCTTCCAGAAAATCCGGTTGACTGCACTAGTTAAAGTAATAAACACTTTCGAAAATCTTAACGCAAACTCCGATACTGACGCCTGATTTTTGTTTATTTATAAGCGTTGTTATGATTTCATTAGTTTGCAAGGCGTCCTAATTATTTTGTTCATTTACTTGATAATTATAGTGTTGTTCTTTACTCTCGATCTGAATACATTTGCGAATAAAATAATATTATATAATTCGGAGTAAAATTGAGTTTATGTGGCTCAGCTAAATTATTTGCCTCAGTACGTTCGTCAAATTAAACGTTTAGCTAAACATTTAAAATTCACGTAGTAGGATTTTATTTTATTACAAAAAACAAGTGATGTATATGTTAACGTATAAACCCGATTTTAGTTAAAACTCCATCTTTCTAGGAAAAACTAGTTTTAACTGTGCTCTTTAGACAATTCACAATTCAAGAATACTTTGCATATGTTTTCAATTTGACATTTAAAAAGTAACAGTCAATTTTCGTTAATACAATGTATTATTACACAAATAACGAAAAAGTGGGCAAGCTCTTAATTCATAGGGAATGCAAGAAAAATGCTCCTGCGGCAGCAACTTGGTACTTCAAGAGGTATTCAAATCGAATGCATCCGGTTTCTGAAACATTTAGAAAACTGGTGGCCAAGTTACGCCAAGATTGGTCCCCAATGAAAGACCCCGTCAGAGGACTATTACAGGCCCAGAAAGTGGAATTAGAGTCCTTGAAGCAGTAGACAATTACTTTGTCATTTTGCCGACTTCTCTCATTTTCATCCAGCTCACATTGATTACTGAATTAATTTAAATAAAATATTTTATCTTACAGGTTGAGTTTTTGAGCTACCTTAGACCATTGTTTTCGCAGATAGAAATCAAATATTATTCATAAGTGAGATAAAGTACTCACAAGTGAGTAAATTTGACTATTATATTATATTTACTATTATAGGTATTTTTATAGGTGAATATTTTATTTGAATGAAACTTAATTTTTTGGATAGTTGCATCTGTAAGATACAACGTCGTATATCCCACGTGATCGAAATGCCATTATGAAACTTGTGAGAGGTGTCTCACTCGTGCGCAAGCGCACTCGTCGGTCAAAATTCTCACTCGCGTATAATGATGCATTTCTATCACTTATAATATAATGTACTAATATCCACTTACATACGCTAAAGGTATTTTTGGTTACAAATTAATTAAGTTTCAAAGTAACTCTCCTGTGACTGACCCTGTATACACTACGTAGTATTATTTAATACTATTTTTTAGTATTTTTTAAAATTAGTATTATTTAATACTAATTTTAAAGAYAATACAAATTAACCAAATAATTTAAACAAGATAAATGTTTTATTTTAGATTTTATACAGGTTGTTCCGTTTTTAATTGTTACAACTTTAAACAGGCGAAAGAATATTCAATTTGAAAACAAAAGTTTCCTATAAACATGTATCAAAAAATGTTATATTAGCGAGTTTTTTCCCCTGTAAGAGATGCGTTTTTTAATGGAGTTTTCCCACTATTGCAGAATAGATAAAATTACAAAAATTGGTACAGCTGATAACCTTTAAACACCTGAACGAATTCAAAGATCAGT